ACTGAGCCAGCTCCCTGGCCCTACATGTCACCTTTCTAAATGCAATATTTACTTATGTCTCCTGCCTAACACACACCTCAGTCTATGAACTTAATTTTTTCCATGATTCTGGATGTAGAATTTGTTTCATGATCATGCTTGCAACTGGAACAAATGTTGTGACCAGAATTATAAAAAGAATTAAGTTTATGAACCAACATGCCACAGTATGTCTTGACTAGTAGACGTGCAGTTGTTTACACCCTTTGATAAACTTTATCATGGGTCTCCTTTCCTTCCTAATTGTAAGTAACACATTTCCTAGGGATATTTTGCCATTATAATTTCTCTTGTTTTTTCTCTGTACTGTTATTATTATTAACAAATCTTTATATTAGAATTGTTATGAAAAGGTGGTGTATGCACATATATAGGTGCAGAGGTTGTTGTTGTAGTCAGAGAATATTGATGTCATAAACCTCTAAGAAGCAGAGATGGCTTCTTTCATATTAATTTTTGTGAATCTTTGAGAACATTACAAATATTTCTTTTGTTCCTTTTTCTTTTAAGATTTATTTTGTGTAAATGTATCATAAATTTGAAGCTATAGGTAAATAAAAATACTGTAAAGTATATTTAAATAAATTATATTTATTTAGGTTTTTTTTTATTCTAGGGAAGGGTCTACAGGGTGTTCAGGGTCTCACTAGTAGATCTGACTCTAGTGGTCCTGTTGTTTACAGCCTCCCAAGAGCTGGGGTTATAGGCACGCAACAGCATGCCCAGTCTTAATTGCCCTCTCGGTGTGCCCTGGGGGTGGGGCCTGAACCCCTGGCCCCTGGGGGTGGGGCTTGAACTCCTGGCCCCTGCACCTGCTTGCAGGCACTTTAATCTGCTGAGCTATTTGGCTGGCCCTTCTTTAGGTATTTTTATCTTCAAGTTGAATATAGAAAATAATTTCCAGTTTTGTGTGATCTGTATCAGGATTAATTCACATAGGAATCTGGAAAACTATCTCAGAAGAGTTCTTTTCTTTGACCCTTACTACCGTGCCACTTTCACATGTACATTTGTCTTCTCATTTACCAGTTTTACCCTGGGTGGCTTGGGAAGGATTATTTTTCTCTTGTGGTGTTCTTCTTCTTTCTAACTTTCTTGCCCCCATCATCTTCAATTGGGATTAGAGGAGCAAAGGAATCCCAGTCTAGGCTTCTGACATCACAAAACAGAATTGGTAATGAAGCTTTAAAGGGTCTTTGGTTTGAAAACTTAATCTGCTTTTTGTGATTCTTTTTAATATATTGAAAGTTCTGTATAATAGAAAATGCAGGCTTAACCTAGCTTGTATACAAAACTGTCTGATGACAATAGTTGACATCAGTACTTACTAATTCTTGGAACTGAAGTGTTAACTAAATTTCAATAAGAAGGTGGTACCATGACTACATATCCAAAGCATTTATTACTATCAAGCTATAAAAAAATTGATAAGCATTTGCCTTTGAAAGTCATAGCTCCATCAATACTTTCTAGGTATATGTGATAAATATTAAATATTTTATATATTATTTCTTTTAATAAGTTTTCTGCAGTAAAAAATAATAAATGAAAAATAGGAAGCCAGTCTATACCCTTAGATGAATACAGTTATTTAACTGAGATGGTCTTTATTCATCCTTCCATTTATTGCTTGGTTTGCACAGGAAAGAACTGCAGGAGCTGCAGAATCTTTACAAACAGAGCAGCGCGCACACAGCACAGCAAGCAGAGCTGATCCAGCAGCTTCAGGCTCTCAATGCAGATGCACAGAATGTACTAAAAAACCAGGAGGAGGTTCACACAGCTGAGAGTCAATCGTATCAAAAAGTATGCATTTATTTTGTCATAAGATTATAGGTCTGTATGTATAAACTTAAGAAAATATGTAGAAATCAAGTTTGTAGAATTTTAGCATTGTTTTGTTCTCTTTTACATATAGATTGTTTCTTCTAAGTTAACAGTGAAATATTTAATTTGGAAATATTTAACTTTTTGTGTTTTCCTTATAGTTACTGGAACTGAATCTTTTAAAAATGATAAATCTATCTCATAGACTATGGTTCTTAGAAAATGAAATTTTTATGTTATGAAATAGTCTTGGAGTGTAATCCTAGAGTTAGAGGATTTGAGGAATAGAACTATTTAACCTTTCATGTGAGAAAATATTTAGTCAACTGTGATCCTAGTTTAAGACCTAAGGCAAACTTTCATTATAAAAGTTGCATATTATTTTATTGACAAATCACAGTCACAAACAGGAATGCTAATGAAGTCTTCAGGGTCAATATTTTACAAGGATTTTTCTCTATTTTGGGGGGAGTTTTTCTTTTCATTAGTCATTTTACTTTAGGAAGTCTTCAAGAAGGCTTATCCAATTATTTCGTTATGCTAACTGAATCAGCAAAAATAATTATAGCTTATAATTTAAAAATCCCTTTATTGAGTTCTATATATTTCTTATGTGCTGCTCTAACACATTTATGTAAAAAATTTAGTTTATATAGACAAATACTATGAGAGCCACCAGATTCTCATTTAGTAGTTAAGGCTGGTGAGGCTGAAAGTAGTGAACTAGTACAATAAACTGAATTTTTTTTAATGCTCTCATCTAAAATGAAAATCTAACATCTACAATTAAAACAAAACAAATAACTTTATTAAGTAAATTTTAAGTACATGTTTTTAAATGGTGCTTTAGAGCAGAGGTTTTTAGTATACATTCTGTATTCCCCTCATGCTTCCCGAAGGATATAGTGATGCCAAGCAGAGGGCGGAGTCTGACCTCTCTACTTTTGAGCAGCTCTGCCCTTTGTTTTGAATTTCACCTGAGTATGCTAAACCAGCTTCCACTGCTAAAATTGTTAGGAAATTTACATTTGTTAGTAAATTAAATTGTTGCTGTTGATGATTATCAGTTGAAATTCTTTTTCCTTTCCTGGTGTCTGGCTCACTACAGATGTGTGATTTTCCTTCTTTAGTTTCTAGCTATTCCTTTCAGTTTCTTTGCAGTTCTTCATAGTCCTTTTGCCTTTTTAGTGTTAACATGCTTCATACCTCATTCTGGAGATTGCTTTTCTGTTCAGACTCACATCCTGGGTGATTCTATCCAATCACCTCTGCTTCATGCAAGTCAAACCATCTACCTGCTGAGAACTTCCAAATTTGTTTATCCAACCTGAATCTCTTTCCTGAATGTAAAGATAATATCTCATTGCTTACTGTCTTGTTGCTAGTTCAGACTGGGGAAGCTTACTCAAGATTCAGGCAGCCTGAAGAAGAGAGGTGAACGATGGACTGGGTGAAACATTTTTATTCACCTGCTTAGCACATTGTCCATTTCATTGCTCCTGTGGACCCAGCCACTGTGCACTTACATAGTCAGGCACCTAGCCAGCCCATTCTCAAGCAGTCCATAGCCTGTTAGTTGGCTCCACCCTCCTGGCAGTTGCCTTTGTACCAAAACACACAATAGTGGCGATGTGCCAATAACAACCTTGGTTATGTAAGTTATTTACCCCAGCCAATGTTGACCATGGCCACAGAGGTAGCATTGAGGTATTGGGATATGCACCTGCACTGGAGTTCAGTTAACACTGGACCCACTGCTTCTCCGATCCTCTTCTCTTCATAGTCTGAACCAAAAACTTCATTCGTGTTTCCTGCCCATAGAAATCTTTTTTCTTGAATGTGCAGTGGGCATCTCACACATAGTATGTTCAAAACTAAGCTATTGTCTGCCATCTTCAAAGTATTTTCATAATTTTATTTCCTACTACTCCTACCGTCAGCATTATGTGTAGGCCACTAACATATATTACCTGGTTACAATAATTTATCACTTTGTTTCTTTGGTCTTTCTGCTTTTACTCCATTATCACCTTGGATGCCAGGATTTTCTTGCTAAGTTTTAATAAATCAGGTTAGTCCCTCTTTTCTTCAGATCCCTTTAGGGATTTCTTATCCCATTAAAAAAGTAAAAGCCTAAGTTTCTTCTATCACCTGGGCAGTCCTACATTAACTGTCTCTGCATTACCTCTCTGATCACATTTTCACCTTCTCTTCTCCTTATGTGCTCTCTTTCTGCCCTGTTAACCTTGTTTTTGTTCTTTGAACATTCCAAGCATTCTTAAACCTCAAGGTCTTTACACTTGCATCCAGTGCCTGAAAAATTGCTCCCATAGGTTTAAGGGTCAATACTGTTCTACTTCCTTTATTTAGTACTTCTTACAGCTTAAAATTAATTGATGAAGACATTAAACTAAGAATGATGAATGTTGTAATACTAGAACTAGGGGCAAAATGTGAACATAGCTGGGACCTTTTCCTATTCTAAGAATAAAGAAGGATCTTTGGGGAGCATGGTGGTACAGGCTGATAATTCCAGCATCCTTGAAGGCTGAGTGGATCGTAAGTTTGAGCCAGGTCTAGGCAACTTAGTGACTTAAAGAGACCCTGTCTTTAAAAACTTTCTTTAAATGATAGGGGTTATAGTTCAGTATGGAAGCCATGGGTTTAATCCCTAGTACCACAGAAAACAGAAGAGGGGGGTTCTCCTTGGTAAAGTAATGATGATGTGTTCAAGATATCAGACAGCAGCTTAGTTGCAAACTCTTAAGTGAGATACTGACTAAACATTCAAGTAATATTGGTGACATTTATTCTAAAAATATGACAGGTGAGACAAATTATATATAATAGTTATGTAGCGTGCTTATGAATAGTACTGAGGCAGAAGAAAAGCAAAGAAAGAGCAAACAGAACTTGTGCTTGATTTTTCTTATGTTTAATTTTTTTTGGTCCTCTTTTTTTTACAATTGAATTTCCATTTTCCTTCTGTGTTTTTTTTCCAAACATACATCAGCAGTGAGGAAAAGGACTAATTCATTGATATTTCAGTTTAAAATTCTGAAATTGTAATTTCCATTGTAGAATTTTAATTTTGAAATCGCTTTAGATTCTTAAGCGATTAGATCATAGAGTTTGGTCATATGGTTTTTATTAGTGTTCTTAGCTGAGCTTAATTTAAAAGTGAGCTTTCTTAACAATTTGTATGTTATATGCAGATAGTCAACATTATAATTGTTTCCTTTAGTGGAAACAACTATAATGTATAGTTGTATATGTATAAATGGTTATCCATAAGAAGAAAAAAAACCTGTCTTTTATAGTTCTATCTCAAGGCAAATATTGTTAACATTTTGACTATTTCCTTGAAGAGTTTGAAATACATTTTAACATACCATTGAGTGCAATAGTAATATGCTTCACTTTAACATTGTAAGAAATAAAACCATGGCATATATTTTTTTAGAAATAGTAATATAATTTGTTTAACCATTTTAATATATTGTTTATTCTTTCACTATTGTAAATAAAGCTTCAATAAACATCGCTTAGTTACTAGTCCAAATTCTTATTACTCATTAGTGCACACTGAATACACACAGAAGTCCCAAATCCACTTACTTATGGGAAGAGAAGTCAATAATATATTAATGTTGTGTATGTCACTCTTAGCTTGTAAATGTAGATGAATCTTTTAAAAATTATTAAGTAAAAGCACAGGGGATTATGGAGTTTGAAGGGTACATGCCTACCACATGATAAGTATATGTCTGATTGCCTTTTAAAGAGCTGCATACTTTTATAACTTGCTTTCCACAATGCAGTTTAAAAATCATAGATGTTTACTTGAATTGTAGGAGTATCTTCAAACTCTGCAGAGATATTTCTATGTTAGTTTAACTAGTATACTGTTTACTTACTTTTAATGATGAGTGCATGGCTTTGCAGGATGTTAAACTATAGAGAATTTAAGATACACTTGAGCTACAATTTAGATCCAAACTATCCCCTAAAGTTTTGTATGGTAAAAGCTCAGAGCCATCCTGTGGCTCTGCTGGGAGATGGGGAACCGTTAGGAGCAGGGGCCAATGTAAGGAAGTTAGGCCATTAACAGTGTTCTCCATTTGTATCCCCTTTTTTTTGTTTAATTTTGTCAGAAAAGGGTATTCCATTGCCACTTAAATATTGTAGGTGCATGAATTCAGTAAAATATTCCAAGATAGTCCAGTAGCCCATGATAGTCGTGGGTTATCTGTAGGACTGGCAACGTCAGAAGGTGTTCACTTGAGCCCTTTACAGTGCAGCATATTAATATGGCTTTACTTCTTATACCTCGTTTTCACACTTTTCTGCTGGCTGGTTAAGACCAAGATAAAGCAAGACTATATAACAAGAAATGTAACTTTTGTATTGAGGGAGATCTTAGAACCTTTGTCTCTTCCTGGTTGTTGCTGTTGTGTTTGTTTTTCTTTCTGACACCTGTGAGGTAAAACTTTTTTCTTCAGTCACTTTTTGCCATGACTTTTGCTGTGGCGTGCACCTTGCCAAGGCCCACAGCATCTTGCTTAAATGACCAAGGGCTGAGCTTCAGGACTTGTAGGCCAAAATTCTTAATTCATGCTTGTGTGTTTCATGCTTGTATCAGTCAGGCTTAGTGAATTCCCGATGAAATAGTCCTATTTTTATTTTTTCTTTCTAAATAAATAAAGTCAGGCTGATATACCTTATCATTCCTTCATGTTCTTTTTTATTTTTGGTGGAACCAGGGATTGAACTCAGGTCCTTGCACTTGCCAGGGAAGCGCTTATTCCACTGAGCTATCTCCCCAGCCCCTCCTTCATGTTCTTGCCTGGTACAACACATACTTTTCTCACATTTCTGCTGTCTTCAAAATGACTGTTTTCTATCCATTCCAATAAAATTGTCATAGTTGAGTTCAAAGGTATTTCTTTTTTCATGAAGCCTATTGTGACCAATGTTTTGTCACAGTGCCAAAAAGAAGCTAACAAAAAATTTGTGGGAAGAAGTGCAATTGTTGGGTGTGTATCCAGCGGTGTGGTTCAGAGGCTTTGGAATTGCTTATTACACTGTTAGAAGTCTTTGATAACTTTTGGTTGTTTATGGACCAAGTCCAACATCCTGGCATTGAAGAGTCCTTGTACTCTTTGTCTGTAATTTTATTGTCTTAATTGTCTCTTATTGCTCCTTTTGATTCACCTCAGAAATCTATAATGCTACTTGAGAATATATCAGTCAACCTTAATGAATTCTCAATGTAATATCCTGTTTTTATTTTTTTCTAAATAAGTCAATTAAGTTCAGGTTGGCTGACATACCTTATCATTCCTTCATGTTCTTTCTTAACACAGTACATACTTTTAAAAAACATTTGTACTCTCTTTAGAATGACTTTTCTGTCCATTCCAATAAAATTGTCATAGCTCAGTTCTTGACCTTATTTTTTATGAAGCCTGTTGAAGTTAATGTAGGTAACTTAAAAGTTTCATGTTTTTTTTGAAATGTAATACTCTTTTTCTATATTACATTGGTCAGTAATACATACTACCTTTATGATACAAGTTAGTGTTTGTATTGGTATTTGGCTCTATCATTTAGTTTTCTTGTATTTTTATCTTGTTTTTCTCTTAGGCTATTAAAATAGCATGATCATAAGTACATTGTTATATACAGTTCATGTGTGTGAGCGCACATATACACCTTACCAGCTTATTGATTATTAATGTAATCTGGATTTTTAAAAATAGCTTTACAATGAGTTACATACATGCTTTGAAACCACGAAGTCAAGTGAAGCTGTGCTGCGGCAGAGTGTTGCTAATCTTCAAGATCAGCTAGTTGAAAAAGAACAAGAAAATGCAAAATTAAAAGAAAAGCTTCAGAATGTGGAAGGAGTCCTGCATCCTTTACCTCAAGAAGATGATTCTGATCACTCAGCCCAGGTGAGAAACATTTTCTAAATATTCTTCTCTCCTATGATTGACTTAAAGTTGAATCAGGTTTGCATACTAGAATATAAATTATGGCTGTTTGTATTTTGCTACATTTTATACTGTTTTTAAGCATGAATATTGTCTATAATGTAAATTCATACAGAAATACATGTGGAAATAGAATATATCAAGCATAGTTGACTTTCTATCTGCAGGTTTTGCATTTGTAAATTAACCAACCACAGATCAAATCTATTTGATAAAAGAATTGTATTTGTACTGAATATATACAAGTTTTTTTGGTTATTCCCTAAACAGTGCAATATAACAACTATTTATATAGAGCTCACGTTCTGGTATGTGTTATAAATAGCCAAGAGATTATTTGAAATGTATAGAGTGATATGAGTAAATTGTATAAAAATATTATGCTATTTTGTGTGAAGGACCTGAGCATTTACAAATACTAGCATTTTGCCAAGTTTAGGAAAGAATCCTCTGAGGATATTTATGGACAACTGTATGGTAACTGTGATGAATTATTTTGTTATTTAAGAGAAAACAAGTCATTGTATTTTTAAGACTTCTTCCTGAAGAATGTAATGGAAACAATATACAATATATCTCATAAAATACTTAATTATAATGCTTAGTATATGATACTTCCTATTTGTCCTATTCTAATTGATATTGAGTGTGGCTGCATCATACCGATTTCTCATGGTAAATCAACTTAAATAAATTCCTCCCCCTTTTTACCTGAAGATTTTTCGTACATAAAAATGTCAGTATTAATGAAGTCTGTGTCATAGAATTTTGTGAAGATTGTTGACATAGCACAAATCAAGACAGGTACTTTCAGTAGTCCTTGAAATTTTAGTTTATTAATTTACTTCATAATTTGAATTAACCCATACAGTTTAATTTTATTTTAATTTATTTTCCAATAGTAATGTCTGAACAAAGAACACTTTCACTTGTGAAAAGCTTGGTGTTAGCACAAAAAGTTTTAAATTTAAATATATATATTTACCAGGAATCAAACTCAAGACTTTGTATCCCTGGTCCTAATGGTTATTATTTTATAGAGTAAATCTTTCCCATCCCTTAAATTTCAGCCTATAGTTATCTATACACTTACTATATTTGTTCAGGTCCTCTTTTTCTTTTAACTCAGTCTGAAAATTTTTTGCTTTTTATTGAATGTTAGTTCACTTAAAATGTAATATAATTGTTAATATGGTTGGATTTAGGTTCATTCTGTATTTTATTCTTGTCTCTTCTATTAGGTTAATTGACTTTAAAAAATCAATTTAAAACTCACTTTTCTGTGTTCTGGATTCCAGTGTTTCTGCTGTCATAAGTTGGTGGGAATTTCTTTCTTTGCTTACTTAAATGTAACATGTCAGTTCTTTGTCACTCTCTTTTTTCTCCTCTCCTGCAGTACTGATGATTGAACCCAGGGACTTAACAGTGAATCATATCCTCAGCCCTTTAATTTGTTTCTTTTTCTTTTTTTGAGACAGTGTTTCTAAATCACTAAGCTGCCTGGGGTAGAGCTTAATTTATGATCTTCCTGCCTCAATCTTCCAGAGTGATAGAATTATCATTTATCAGCTAGTTTTTTTCTTTCTTCTTTTTCTTCAAGATTTTAGTTTTAACTTTAAGTCTTTTACATCTCATGTTTCAGGTTTGAGTTTTTTAATCATTCCTGAGCTGAGATTAATGTTTTGGGCTGAGCTTATTGATTTTTGAAATATTTTTAGCTGAATTGGAAACTAGACCTTGAACTAGAAATCTTTTTTTCTCAGTCCTAGGTGTGTATCACCATATTTGCTTAAACTAGTATTTTTAAAAATCTATATTATATACAGATTACTCATATTATTAACCTTCTTACTCTGCATTTTAAGGGTTATGGTAGCATGTCAGCTATGAAAAATATTGGCTTTTTGTATTATAATTTATGTTTATATAGTTTAGCCATATTTTTTCAAAAAATGAAGTTGAGTATGTTCTCTGTTGTCTCTGTCATGGTTTAAACAAGCTCATTCCCTTGAGTATATTATAGTATTTATGGCTTCTCTGTCCTTGCAGTTATGCATATTAACATGGAAAAGTGAATAAAACTAACTTTACTGTGGTGTTGTAGAATTACTTAGCAATGGAAACAAAGAATGTTCCAAGCAGAGGGAGCAAATGTAAAGCTCATTAGACAGGACCTTGCCTCGCAGAGAGGCCAGTGTGGCTAGATGAAGAGAGTGAGGGTGAGAGTAGTGAGAGGTGATCTTGTACAGCCCCATGTGAAGCAGGTCTTGCAGGGCCTTGTTAGGCCATGCAAAAATGAAGATTTTACTGTAAGTGCAATGGAAAATCATTGATATGTTTTAAGTAGGACATGAACATAAAGCCTATTGGAGTGTTTAATCAGAAGAGTTATGAGATTTAGGTTGATGCCTTAGCAGGATCATCCTGACTGCAATGTAGAAAGGAGACAAAAAGGCCTTGGGATCAGAGATACTGGCTGAAGTGGCAGTTGTAGTGGTCCAGATAAGACTTGGTGAGTCTTGGAACAAGATTATAAAAAATGATTGATTTCTGGAAATAACTCAAAATTAGAGCCCATAAAATCTAACGATAGCTTCTTATGTGCATTATGGAAAGAAGGAAAGATTAAAAATGTATTCAGGATTTTGAGGTCTGATGAGCTGAACGATATGGTTTTACTCTTATGAATCTTATAGATAGTAATACAGATAGCAAAATGGTATAAAATGTGCAGTAATTAAATATGAATCAAGTAGGTCCTTTTCATGAGCATATTTATGGAGAGGAGCAGGTTGCCAAAAGTAGTACTGGAAATCAGACAATTTTATCTTAAATGATCAGTGGATTAATGAATACATCAAAAGAGAAATTTAAAGATTTCTTGAAACAAATGAAGATGAAGGCATTAAACAGACCAATAAAGAGTAATAAAATTAAGTTAGTATAAATAGTATTCAATTGAAAACAGTTCAGGACTGGGTGGGTTTACTGAAGGGTACCGAAACTTTAAAGAGCTAATGCCAGTTTTTCTTACATTATTCCACAGCATTGAAATTGATCAGTTTTTAACACTCACTCTATAATATTAACATTGGACAAAAAGATACAACAAAAACAAATTATACTTGATGAACAGAAATGTGAAAACTCTTAGCAAATCTACTAACAGATCCAGAAACATTAAAAAAGAAAGATCATGCACCACCATGATCATATGAAATTTATCCCCAGATTGCAATGATGGTTCAGCAGCAACAAATCAATAAATGCAGTACAGAACATGAGCAGGGTGAAGGATTAAAAATCATGCCATTGTCTTCATAGATGTGGAAAAGGGTCTCATAAAATTCAATATTCCTTCATTTATCAAACCCTAAAAAAATTAAGTACAAAAGGAATGTATGTCAACCCCATAAATGTTGTGTATCAGTTAGGGCTTACTAGAGAATCAGATACAACACAAGATATACAAATGTGTAAGAAGTCACAAGATTGGATTATGATGATGAGGAAGCATGCAGAAGAGTCCAGTCCAAAGTCTGGAGCTCGCTGCAATGTCTGTGTGGGCCCTTATCATGAGGTCAGTGGTCTGTGATGCAGCGCTGAGGAATCTCTGTGAACCCTGAAGAGCACAACAGAAGGCTGAGGAGCCCCAGAAGCTGAATGGTCTGCCCCAGAATCCTGGAGACAAGAACCTCTCTGAAGGGAAAGACTGGAGCTCCTCCCAAAAACCAGCTATCAGTCCTTCCTCATCCCCCCTTTCAAAAAATTTGTATTTTTAAAAGAGAGTATAAAATAGTATTAAAGTAGAAACATTACAAATGATACAGATTTTTATTAAACAAAATAACATGAATTTCACAATATTTGTTGTATTGCATGGCGTTGTTTTCAAATTAGTTGTTCATATTACCAGATATATGGATGCAAAATTTGAAGAATAAGGAAAAAAGTATATAAGAAATGAAGGGAAAAGGTCAAAGAATTGAAAAAAGGAGACAAAACAAATTAAGCTCTGACTGCTTCTTTCCATAGACAGCAGAAATCCACAGTACAGTTGTCTAAACCATCCTGCATACCTGCATAGACATATCTCTTTCCCACACTCCCTCTGCTGTCCTCCTCAACTCAGTAACTCATGTCCTTTGTATTGTATGCAGCCTACTGGCCCTGGGGGGTGGGGTGGTTCCCTGCCATCCGCTTGTACAGGCTCAGGATAAATACAAAGTAAGGACCCTGGGCTGCCTGCTGAGTCACTTAGTTAAGCTTTTAAACTCTTCAGGTTAACACGGTGTATCAACAATAACAGACTGTATATAACAAACCTATAGCTGCCACCATATGAAATGAGATATTGTTTCCTCTGAGATCAAGAACAAGATAAAAATGTTCTTTACCACTTGTGCTTAATATAGTACAGTATTGCAAGTCTTGGCCAGAACAATTAGGTCAGAGCAAGAAAGAAAGAAAGTGTATCCATATAGAAAAGGCCACATTATACTCTCTGGACAACATCATTTTTGGAGAAAAACCTAAATAATTCACCAAAAGAAGCTATTGCAATTGATAATATAATTTACCAGTGTTGGAGAATACAAAATCAACAATCGATATAATCATTAAGTACTGCAGACATGTACAAAACAAGCAAGAGAACAAAGAGATAGGTGGATAGGGGAGAAAAGAATGGGAAGAGGATGAGAAAAAAATGTGTTATGGGCTGAATGTGGTGGCTATGCCTGTAATCCTAGCACTTGAGAGGCTGAGGCAGGAGGATTGCTGCAAGTTTGAGGTCAGCCTTGGTTACAAAGTGAGTTTAGGGCCAGCTTGAACTGCATGGTGAAAGCCTGCTCAAAAAGACAGGGAAAAAATGTGTTATATACACATATCAACTTCCCACAAGGACTGTAAACATTATATTCTACTCACATGTATTAATAAAAATTTTTTTAAAGAAATGA